TTGAAGAATGTAGCTGAAGTATAAAACAAAATATTGATCACAATTAGTATTTGTTAACTTAGCGCTACCGGGGCTGATTCCAACGATTTCATATAAGTATTTCGTACAAACATGATACAGTTGTTTGAAGCACTCGACGTGTTCACCGATCAGCAGTCGTAGCCCGACTCGTATTCTGTTACGGGAATCTCCCTGCACCGAGGCACCGCAAAAAGGTCACCAAAGTAGTGACTAGTTTATTGGGAGACATTCAATGGATTGAATAACATGCACAAGAAAAGATAATCCGCCCTGGATGGATTAACCAATCAGTATTCACATTTTTCTGGTCAGGGCCTTACGGATATCGATAAGTCCGAAATAGTGACTCCTGATTGACCATCATGAAGCTTATTTCGCGCGGCTCCCTGCCTGTCAAGACTTGGTAGTGTTGTACCACCAAATTGTTATAAAGGCTTGTCATTAAACCTAGTGACAGCTGAATATTACCGGACGAATAATTTCTTATGTCCTTGACCGTTTGGAAAACCAATTGATGCAAACTATGTTTTCGAAAGTATAGATAGTATTGTGCTCAGCTGAGGCCCACGAAAGAGCCGTTTAGTTAAGTCAGACTTCTATCTCAGAGGTAGTAATCAATAAAACTGAGCTTCAGTAAAATGTGCAACATCGAACCGTGTTTAGCGGGAATCGTAATATCTTGTGATTTCGTTTGGCTTTGTACCATAAGCGCTCAGATCTAAACCGCTAGTCTGTCTCCTAGCAAGCCGGATGAGTAGTCTGACAGGGCTTTTCAGTCGTGGCTTACACACTGAAACGGAAATGCTGTAGTCACCTTCTGCTCTATCATAAAGCAATCTTCGTTTCTCAGACACAATGGAGCAGCAACTGGTGCAATTTTAGTTCCCTTGAACCCCTTTCCAAGGTAAAGAAATCAATAATTCACTTCTAATTATCTTTTAAGCCCATTGTTCTTCTTTGTCTCATTTTGTTTCAAATCACGTCCCAAACATCCTGATTAAGATACCGTATTTCATGAGAGATAATGTGTAACTAGTTACCGGGTGACTTTAAATGTACGATACCTCTAGTAATGAACGTTTTTCCTTCGGAATTTCCAAGCGCTTCCCAGGATACCTTGATGCGCATTCGAAATGGATACGTAAACTGGCCAACGGGATCTGTGATTTGACGAACAGCAATCAACCCAGAGGTGTCTGTGGTATCGCTTTGTTGAACCAAAGCAACAGCATTTACACGGTATATTACGCGTGTTAAGTTACGCAAATCGAATTACAGCTAATTGACACATGGTTGATACAGGTGCCTAGGATCGATTAAAAATGTAAATGCTTAGGAGGAATATCTATTAGCCAAGACACTCATACTTGTTAAGTCAATCAGTTTTCTTTGCTGCTAAAAATGACTGACTCGATCGACGACGACGTTGATTTTGCTCAATATAAGGAGTTTTTATGGCGATTGTGAAAAATCCAGTAGCCTCGGCGGGATTCGAAACCACATATGGACGCCGCCTACGCTTTGTACACGCACGCTCTACCAGCTGAGCTACGAGTCCGCACCGACAGCAATGATCTTTTCCTATTCGAATTACCCATCCAACTTACAGAGGCATATGGCATCCACCAGTTAGCATGTGAGCTGACTGCCCCGCACAGTTTCTCCTTAGAAGGGGGTTTATCAGACAAATGAACGTACACAAGCTTCCGAAGTGTGAGATAGACATATTCAATCCCAATGGGAGGGGCTTTAAATGACATATGAATATGAAAGCTATGGTTATGCAATCTTCTAATGCCCTTGACCAAAAGATAACTTTTTCTGACATATTTTCAAATTCTATTGGTTTGTGTTTGCACATCTGAGTGCCAACTGAGCGAACAAAATTCACTCCGCCGACTCTCGTTTGTGCAGACGCACCTACACACGCTGTCTTTGTTCATTTCCAAAATTTTTCTTTCTGGGTATGTCCTTGGTTACTTCTCAAAGACATGAATGTTCAAACGACTATTCCAAAGCACCTTCAATTTGCAGGAATCAAAACATGGATATTTTTATTCGTACTGTATCGGTCACATGGAGATCAATGGAAACACTGTGAACTTTTTGGCTTATCTTCTGTCTTTTTGTGGATAATACAATTTTACCACTTACTTGCTTTTCATTTAGGGGCATAGATTCACTTTGGTGAAGACAACTCTTCACACGGACTTTCATTCATCCATTCATCATTGCAATGCAATCATTTGAGCAGTTCTAATAGGTGGCTGACTGTTCTTCATTGAACTTTAACACAACAGTTGCTGCATTTGGACAATTGATAACCAATATTACTTATTTTTGTTTCGTGCTGCTACGGCTAACCAACCGAGACTAAAACAAAAAGAAATGTCTTGTTTTTTTGCTTCCCATTTATTAAAGTACAAAATTAAGTAGTTCCATTAGCAAGAACAACGCCCAATACCAACCACTATTTATGTTTTGCAACAGATACAATAGTGGCGAACAAGCTCGTTTTCAGTGATTCGTAGTCATGCCAAATACATCACAATAAATATTATGCTGTTTATATATAAATCGGTATACAATCATAAAAACGTAAACAAATGTTTGGGGAAAGGGAAAATAACCTCATGGGTTATCTGGGTTCATCTTGGGACCGGATATGGAATTCTCAATGATCGCTTAATTGTTAGGTCATCCGATCGTTGGGACCACTCGGAATATGGGGTGTATAGGGGGTGGGCCAGGGGAGCTTAAGCGCCTGCACAAATTGTTTTTGGGCACACAAAGGGGGGTGGTGCAGCCGAATTCCTACCGCTTCCGCTGTGGCTAGCATACGACAGCGAACCTGCCTTGATAATCGACCACGAACCCGATACAATAGTAATCAAAAGGAATAGATGGAGAAGAGTAGTTTCATTAACACACTAATAACGAATAATGATAACGCAATCAAAGTTAACAGGTTATCGATTAATTCGTCTTGTGTTCAAAATCTCCACACTATCTACTTAAGTACCATTTTTTTCTGTCATTAGCCCTTTGATGGGCTCTTATTCACGCCATTGAACACTTGAAGTATATCAACTAAATGAATAAATGTAATCATTATTACTGTTTTTTATCCCTACGGCTATTGATGAACCATTACTAGTGTCTCTTCTGGGTTTATTTAGTACCAACCATATTTCCTGTATGCTCATTGCTATCAACTAATGTTTGTTACACCGACTCCCAAGTATTATTCTCGCATTTTACCCTACCCTCTGTCTTCGTTACTATTTAACCTTGGCATAGATTTGATCCTGCAAACAGCCCTGTCCTCTTGCGAGGATAGTGGCAGCTATTTGCTCTCAGGTGGTTGACCGCCTGATCTGGAACGTGCAGAAGACATTGTACTGCTAAATGAAGATATTGGTAAGCTGCGAGCTTTTCTAAATAGCTTTAATGTTAGTGTAGCCATATTCGGTATTCAAACTGTAAAATGTTGCCACAGGACTAGGTTGACCCAGTCCCCACTCTAATTCTAGCTGAGGAAGTGGTAGAGAAAGTAGAAAAAATTTTCTATGTACGCAGCTAAATCTCACCTGGCGGACGCATTACGGGTGAGGTGTCAGCTTGCATGCAGAGGGCTCGATTGGCCAACCTAAGACATCTGTGGTGCTGTCGCGACATCCGGTTATCTGTAAAGGGTCTAGTGTATGTTGCAACAGTTCGATCAGTGCTGCTTTAGGATGCAAACACTTTGATGTTATGGAAGAAGGGTAAAACTTGAGCCTTGGTGTTCGAACACCTCTGTTTACGAAGCATTGCACGAATCTGTTGGGAAACCGGGCAAGCAATGCTGAGGATAGAGGCAGGGTTTTAGATAATCGTGGTCATCCACTGGAGCCATTGGGTGACCTCCATAGATTACGCTAGACATGTGTTGCGTCTACCATCAAATATACTGTCATGGAGCAGGTAGTGGATGGAAAAATGTTAAGAGAGGCCAAACTAAAACCTGGCATGAGGGTATGAAAACCCTACCAGGATTTTTCTTCACATAAATCACGTTGGCTGGTGGTTAGACACACTGGGTGACATAACAGAGAGTCGCAACCCAAGTTTGTATGAATTCTGTATGGTCTATTTGACGCTGCTTTCAACATCCCAATCTTTCTTTTGCTCTTTTATCCAAATTGGTAGTCTCAAGGCAGCAACCAAAACTGGCGCGCAAAAGTGCATCTTTAGCGGTTGTGAATGTTGAAAATAAATTTTACCCTCATTGTTCTGTCCCTCGGTCACGTGGTTCACAGCCTGCGTGAAGCGTTGACTCAAGTGAGTGTCTCTCGATCGGGGGTTGAACCACCAGATTACTTCTCTTTTATCCGATTTTCACCAACCGGCTTTTGGGTTTCTATTATTTGAAGGTGTGTTTGCCCTTTCCAGTATCCTCCTGTCTTTCGCACTCAATGAAACACTGCTCACACATTCAAACGTTTAACGCTGAACTCCAAATGAAAGCTGCCATAAACCTCGGCTTCTCGCACTGCATCTTATTTGCGGTTGACATTGCTGAATTCCTCTACTGCCCCGTTCCCCTTGTTACTGAGTTGCTTAATACCATGGTACTCTTAGTTGTTAATTCTAACTGTTATATGCATTTGTTGTCAGTTACAATACAGTTAACTATAGACAGCCCAATTTTCTGTTGAACTGTATACGTGTTTATTCACCGGTCACCCATTGCTGTTACTACCGCGCGAGATGACTCAATCACATAACCCACACTGATGCCATTTTATTCATTCTATCAATAAGGTTATGGTCTTATTACACAGATTCATTACAAGTCCAATGTAAAGATGAGACGAAAAAGTATACCGATTCAACAACTAAGAAACATAACGGTTGCAAAATATATATTCGCATATAATCCTATTCCGTTCACATAAAAGCGATATTTTAACGAGGATAGGTGTAGAACGAGTTTATCAGCTGCCTTGAGGAAATTGAACTTTGCATGTGACAGAGATTTTCGATAAGGTAACCGAATACTCTGCGCTCCGCTCAGCAGAATTAGATCCATCTCGGTCTTTTGGATGTGCACCGTGCTCCTTGGAGTCTGGCCTCTTTACACCGGCACCAACACCACCACCACCTCGTCCTCCACGACACCAGCACCTCAAACAAACCAGGCGAATACTTCGGATACCGTAGAGGAAAAGAATCGGTTCGAGTAGAGTGCGCAACATTAGCAAATCGACACTGACGTGTGCGATCGCTGGTGGGACCTGGATTGTGTTTATCGGTTGAAGAAATGGGATGGAAATGAAATGGGAACTGGAGTTTGAATAGAAACCTAAAGTCCAGCCTATCGGTGAGTCTTAATCGTTACGCTCGAATTGAGACTAATAACCGAAATCGTATACCCGGCATAAATGAATGAGAACAGTCAGTGTGTTACGACAAGGTCAACCTCATTTCGCATCATCATTTCATGTTCTCCACTCTTTCATGGAAGAAGTGCGACAATTTATCGCGATTGTGTTTTGGTGATTCATCCGTTCGTGAATACGTTTAATTTACATCATTTCCCTCATATATAAAATAGAGGTACAACGTTTTAGTTACACAGGATAAACGGATTGACTATGAATCTGGGGCTAGCACCTGTTGGGTAGAATAATTTGTAACGTTGAAAAGAAATTTTTATTGTGGGATCAGAAGACCCGTGCGTACAAACGGATAAAAACACTATACGGATAACTATACAGAGAATGAAAAATTAACCATTATATTCTATTACATAACCTGTCATATGAAATGCAATATATGTGCCGAAGATTCAAATTAATCCACAAATGACTAGCAAATTCATCGATCCATTTAGATCGGATTGCTTTTAAGATATACACATGCCTGAGTTGTTATTCTCCATTCACCTTGGGGATCACACCGAATCCAAACTGCATTATTCAGATACTGAAACTGGTACGAGCGTTACACCAATGTATTATGTAATCATACAAGAAGTGATTGTTCACACGTGCATTTGTGAATATTTTTACTTGCAACCGTACATGTTCATCACCGAGCGTTTGCAAGCTCGACGAGTATGCACTGTCTGACGAGGACTGATCCGCTGTCCTATGTATGCAGAGCTCTTCATTAGTATGTGTGAAATCTTGACATTGCAGGATAAATCAATTTCCAATCATTTATTTTTTCTCTTCTCCGATGAATCATAATTTAAATACATTTCGCAATTTTCTATAAATATTCGATAGCCGTCTTTACCACAAAGTAGAGTCATATGCAGCAAATGTTAGACAGTACCGATCGATCTGAAACAACAATGACACCTGCATACGGTTCAATGTTTTCATAAATGCATCAATCTACATTGTAACCGATGTACAATTTTAATAATAGCGATAAAAACATACATTTTCTATTTACTAAATGAAAAAGATCAACAAGTAAATAAAAAATTAATAATAGATAATAATAAATGAATAACGTAAATATTACAGCCGATTGTTCAGGAGGAGGCTGCAATGATTCAAAAGATGAATACAAATTAAAGTTTGGAAGGTGGACTGCGGTGATGATGGGATTCGAACACTCAACCTCTGAACCGCTTTGATGGTCACCCTAACAGGTCGAACATCACTGCTTATTCTCCGGACCTGTATAATTGACAGACCAATTGCTTGATACATGTTGCTTGTGATTAATTAAAAGACTTTGTGCGCCATCCCAAGGTTCAATCATGCATACAGAGCACCGATTGAAAATTTATCATTGGGGCAGGTATGAAAACTTGCAAACACACTGCTCATGGCTGTTCCCCTCTCATATGTTGTTTGCTGATCAAAACATTGGTGACCTCCACTCGAATGCAGCCAAGAGAAGGTGTATTAACTAAAAGCGGGAGTGGTGGATTGAGTGCATGCAGCATCTGTTGTGGTGCAGCAGCCAGCGACTTCATATTTTGCCACTAGAGTTCTCAATTGCAGTCGAAATCGTAGTCTTTTGATCTGGACTGACTGAACCTGCCTCATAATTACCGGTAATTTGTTGCATGGAACAAGTATTATTGTGAGGTTTGACTCACTATATTTCAGACTTCATCTTCCACTGGCAGATGGTTGTTAGTCATATCAGAAAGTCTGACAGGTTAAACCTAAATCCTGACTGTAGACCTGCAAGATAAAATGGATAGTATTTCGCTGGAATTGAAATAATGTTTACTGTCCCCCTGAGATGCTTTCTATCACATAACTGACCAAATATCTTTGAACACCACTTAACCTGATGGGCCTAGTTAGTCCTGCTGTGAGCTAAGTTCAGCAGTTATAACACATACATCTCTGGTAAAATTATTTGAGATTCAAACCTTGAATGCACTTGTGAATTATGATAACCACGAGACTTGAAACGAGTGCTTTCGCAGTATACGGTGTACCGGAAAATAAACTGGAGACTGTTCTATGAATGGTCGGCGGATGCGATAAGCCATTCGCTTCGTGGAGTAGAATTCACTGGAAATGCGGAATGTGAACATTCTGCACACTTCTTTAAAATTACGATTTCGAAAGCCTTGTAAGTATCCATGAGCAAGAAATGAAACTAGAAAACAGCAGTGCATTTTCTGCATTTCTTGGCCCTTCCCTATACAAACTTCGTTTTGCTTTCCCTGAATATGTAGGTAATATTACCGTAACTACAACTCACAAGAATTGGAGCCCGTAAGCGTCAAACGTGATTGGTAGCCACTTGTGTCGCTTAAATGAATATCTCCCCTAAATCGATATTTCAATATGTAATTCGATTCCAGCAGGGGCGAAGCCGGACAGAACAAATTTGTTCACTTACCCAACACTGGAATGTGGTAAGCAGTTCCACAATGAGGATTGGTAACGCAGTACACATTCGTTCTACAATCATCAAGCCCAGTGTTTTCAATGCACGGTCATATTTTGTCTGGCTGATGGTTGATCTCAAAGCAAAATCACCGGGTGCTATCTGTTGTACTGTGCCGGGTACTGTCTGGTTGCGCGTTTCTTTTTTTGTACTGGATTGTTGTTGTTGTTCACCCGGAAGGAACTCATCTCGCACGACCGCAATCCACCGCAGAATAGAGCAGAGGCTGAACACGACTGCAATGTTCAGAATCAAATCAAATAGGATTAGAACACTCCAAGTGCCAAGCGCTATCCGATCTTCCGGTGAAAGTTGTTGCTTACAGTCACTGGATAATGCAGACAAATTGATCAATTGTTTTTTCCGTACAACTTCTGGACACAAATCCGTAATAAACCACGTGCAAATTATGTGCGCGACATAAATGAATAAAATAAACAACACAAGTGACATCATCCGGAATTGAATGATCTGTTTTGTTCCCGTTTTGTCCAAGAGTGTCACACATAAACATGCCGAATTCGGGCATGACCACCAACTTCTTGCATCGTTGTCCACGGGATCACCCAAGCCGCAGCGCTGTTTGATCCCCGTTGAGTGAGATTGAAAACTACCATCACACCGGGTAAACAATATTCGCGCTCCGGTTGATCGAAACAATATCCCTGTGAAACAAACTGTCCCGATCGTGTTGCTTGCTCTCGTTCCGGACATGAGAGCCTTGATAACCCGAACCAACTGGGATTTACAGGCGGGGATTAAATGAGTAGACACAGAGATGGGCAATACAACCAGATCCAGTATAGAATTATTCACACAAATCAAACCCACGCACGTACGGATAGGAGAAGATGGAATTGACCAAGTGGTTGCGTTATCATTTGCTTCATCCGCTTGGCGAGCACCAAAGAGCCGGAAGAGACGGAGGCAAGCGCAGGTTTTAGGATCTAATTTCCTAGTAATTGCATCCCAAAAACGATTCAGAGGATGTTGAAATATTCCGATCATCAGATAGAGGTTCATTGTCACGGCCAGTGCAGACATTGAGGTCAACCATGTCAATCTGACACCGTTAATCACGTTCGAAACTTGGAAAGGAGAAAACAGAAACAGGAAAAGAGTTATAATCCAATAACTGGAGCATTGTATTTTTTCTTCAAAAAATGTTGTTTGAGGACCAGCAAATAGCACCGGATGGTAGTTTCGTTCTTGATGTAACTTATTAGCAGTGCATTCAGTTTTTGTGCCCTTTGGTGTTGTGAACCACCAGCTGTTAGCACCAACTGGACGGATGTCGATCAACCTATCTGTTTCTACTTAATGCAAAGTTAGCCAGCACACTGGTGAACTTCTGTGTGTATGAATATTACAGGTGGTCAATGATATTCATGATCTGAACCTAAAGTTTTTCAACTACAATCGCTAAATCCTGATCGGAATAAGTATGTGTTCGGCATTACTGTTATTGTTACAAGAATTGTTACAAGAATGGCGTTATGAGACCGTTTCGCAAAAGCTCCTGATCAGTGATTGTTACAACCTAAATCAATCCTTCCTTGCCCCAGCCCTAATTCACAATAGACACTTTACTTCCGTCCATTCGGTGTGCCAGATTGCGTCTGGTTCGTCATCGGGTTCAGTCATATAAACGCGATGAGATGAAAATTGTTTTACCTTTACTGCTTGCAAGGAATGTTTGCTAAACTATGCCCACCAACACTGATAATACAATACCATTTAGTCGTCGAGTGATTTTTGTCATTAGTCATCTGTTCGTATCTTGTGCCACACGGTGCAAATTCTCCTTCAGAGCAATTTACAACTCGTCCATGGATTTGTATTTCTGCGTTGGATTCATCCTCCTCCTCCTCGTCCTCGTCCTCCCTCACTCCCCTCGGAACTGACTGTGCATTTGTTCAACTGGATTGATGGTCGGCGTGGTCACGAGCGTCTTTGTACGGTGATACGCGAAACAATGATGTACGACGAGGAGGAGGTGAAATACTGTTTGGTTCTTGTCCTTGAAAATCCCCTTATAAATTGTACTCACCAGCGGCACGATGTATCACGTCAGGACTTTCAGGCAAACCTTAGCAATGCTGTTTCTCTCCAGAGACACTATCTGGCTCCGACCTTCTCATTGCTGAATACCGTAACTTGCAACTTCATTGGGGATATGTTTCCAAACACGAATTGGACCATTATGCTCGATTCATCGATCCAAACGATCGACTTCCGTTGCTCATCTCTTTATAAACTCACATCCCAAGGTGCACACTCATACATAGCACAACATTCGATGACGCTTAACCAATAGAGCGGCCGGAATTCGCTTTCTTGAATGAGATGCATATTCATTGAACGAACGAGATAAAGTTTGGATGGATGGCGGAAGGGATTACTGATTAAAATTGCTAAAAAAAACAATGGTTAGACGCAAGAGTTCAAAATAAGCCCATGAGAGACCTAGCAGCACCTTTGAATGATCTTTGTAGTCATTCATAATTACAGATACTTTGAACTAAACGATCGATTTGCTTACTGCCCACTTTGAAAGACCAAAATATGCTCAGGTTTGTCAACTATCTTACCCGCAAAATATAGCAGCCTGAAAAAGTTTTCCGAGATCGAAACTAGTGATAAATGTTGCCAAGCAGAACGTTCTTCAAAATGTTGCACCTTTGAAAAGTGGCAGCCTCTAAAACACTGCTACTTTTCCGAGAACCACTCATCGTATTTTGAGAATGACATTGATCACTGAAAGACCCCACTTGGTTGAACACCACCATAGTCATTCAATTGTACAATTTTGGCCGTTCACTTGCTGATCATTATTTGGTGTCAGAAATACAACATTTTGTCATTCAGTAGATATAAATTTTGTTTATGGCTGTTGCTTTTATCGAAATTCAGAATGAACGAAGAGTGAGCTATCAGTCATAAGATCAACATTTTTGAATTTGTAACACAACCGAAATTCATACAATTATCTACTGGAAACTGTTTAGTGTTTCAAGGAAAACATCACAAAACCTCATACGGATAGTTACTCAAAGGAAATTCCGGGTTTTGATTCAACGGGGAAAATGTCATCACACAATAAAAACAAAAACCAGATAACGCGCCTGACGCTGTTTACTAACAGCACATGCAAATATGTGATCATCCAGAGCAATTTCCCATATTGGAAAGTGGAATTAGAAGAAACACTGTGCATTTTGCTGCGGTTTAATTTCAAATGGACATTAAAGCATCCACATGATGGTTAAATTGTAGAAAAGAAATATTCAGATTGAAGACATCCAAGGTAACCAACAATAACTAATTCAACAAAACATGTCGACATTTGCTTGGAAAGATGACCCATATCTATTAAAACAGGTGGATGAGTTTCGCGAAAGCTAACTAGGACGAGACCGAATGATAACGATAAACACATATTCATCCTTGATCAAACGGCTTTGTACAACTCAATTTTAACGAAAAGCACATTGAGCCATTCTGTAGTAGCAGATATCGGTACAATAAAACAAAGCGAAGTACGACTATCGCTTTTTCATGACACAATAAAGGTCACTTCACAAGCACTGATGATGTCACCTCGGCTGGTGATTAAACGTTGGCAAACAAATTACCAAGCTCGGCGAACAGGCGAAATGGAATACTATATTCTTATTTATGTATTACCCTTTAATTTACTTCCATTTGTTGTACACGTTTACAAGCGAAGCAGATACTGGTAGTTAACTTTAACATGAATTTGCCTACTAAATTAGGACCAAATTATGAATTACACCAGAGCGTGAAATTCTCTTATTGTACTTATTTAGCTTTGTTTCTGGACGGTCATTCGGCTTTGGAAAAAGGAAGATTTTATTTTACCGTTATTAGAAGGTATTTGATTTTTATCGATGTTACTTGACCCGGATGTAATTGCTTATTCCGTTACTGATCGATTACGGAGGTCAGTATGTGTAGTTGTTGTTGTTTTGTATTGTATTTGCGTTAGGAGTTCAACCGTGGCGACTGTTGTGCTGCTCTTTTGAGGTATTTTCCTGTTGAATACTTTGTGAATATTTGTGGTATCACAGGAATCTGACTGTTATTGTATCCCGAATCATCTAAATTGCCTGATCGGTTTTTAAGTGGTGTAAATTTACTCAGCTTAACGATTTTGATCTATTCGATACATTAAAGAATGGACTCACCTGAAAAGAATCACTAGTGACTGGCTTTTGTGGAAATCAGTCAAAACGTTGAACCGGCACCGTCGAAAATCGACGGAGAGATTATTTTATTTAATCACACCTTACATCTTGATATTATTTAATTATTTCTTCAATTTTCCTCCTTCGTTTATCGTTTTTAAAACCTCCTCCAACAGACACGGTGTGATTTTCCAGGATTGGAGTTAACGCCATATATTACTGTCAAATAGGCTAATCATCACGTTCAATTTCTAAAAAGGTAGTGGTCTTTAAAATTTAGTGCTTTCGGCTACTATGAAGTAGTAAAATTTTGGAAATTGTGTGAACTTGGTAATGTCGTGATCTTACTGGTTCCCACGTACCAGTTATGTGTCATATCATCTCCAATTTGGTGCACACCACGTGAGCTCAGATATCAGCTCAAATATCAGAATTGCTACTCTCGCAATCGCAGACAGCATCACACAACTCCGTAGATTGATATTCCTAACTGCCGGGATGGACGACACATCAAGGTCGCAGTTTGCTGTGGGGGTCTGATTGGCAAACAGTGTACACACATGCCTACTCGCTATAGATCCAAGTTGTCATCGCGCACCCGGACTTCATATACTACACCTTTTCCCATCAAGCTTTAGCCAAAACCCGAAATCATTTAGCCTCTACCCACATTCCTTTAGCCTTGACCTACATTCCTTTAGCCAAAACCCACATTCCTTTAGTCTTGACCTACATTCCTTTAGCCAAAACCCACAATCCTTTAGCC